ATGTAGGGTCTGATTTTTCTTATGTATACCAAGTTAGGATCGTGACCCTTAAGAATAGAGTGCGTTCTTATAAAAATCTGCGGAAGCTTTACACTTAAGCACTAGAGGGTGAGTTTGCAAAGTAGATTATAAATTGCAAATAAAGAATGACAATATTAGAAAATGAACATTACAAACACAAGCATGTATACTGGTTCCACCTCCCCGGTGTACATCTAGTCCCCAAGCAAATCCCGCTTGAGATTTCTACTATGATTTTGAATAAACTTACAAAATCAAAAGCAAACCTGACCAATTTATAAGACCATGCAAATTACAACACCAATTGACAAGACTATGCCAATTGCCACCCAATCTCTGAACCAAGAGATCAACCCTCTCAAACCCGAGAGAAATCCTTGTTGAAAAAAGAACACAATTGATCCTATAAGCCTTGAATGTGTAGTGAAGTGCAGCAGTGGCTTAGGATTCTTTTAAACCTCTGTCCTAAATGATAGGTATTTGATGAATGTCTAGAGGCAATTTCAGAAACTTCTCTTTTTCACAAAATCTGAATGTATTTCACTTGAAAAATTGCACAAAGATCAAAGCTTATGGGTATGTAAGTCTCTGTAATTTTTCTGAACAAATAACCTATTTATAGCCCTTGAAAAGACAATTTTTTAAACTTTAAAAATATTTAAAAACGGCTATAAACTGTCAGATATTCAAACTTTAAAAACTGGAAAAACTGTATCTGTAGTCGACTACTGTTGACATTAGTCGACTACACTGGGTTCAAACAGACTCTGTGTTTTCGAAAAATTTTCTCAGTAGTCGACTACAAAGCCCATTAGTCGACTACACCGTATTTTGACAGAAACTGATAAAATGAAATTTGAGTTCAGTAGTCAACTACTATTGACATTAGTCAACTATACTGTAAAATAACAGAAACTTATGTTTCTGTCAAACACCTGAGTAGTCGACTATAATCATTATTAGTCGACTATACTGTAAATTAAAAGAAACATGTATTTGAGTTTTATACATGAGTAGTCGACTACTATTCTAATTAGTCGACTACTAAGAGCAAAAATTCTGCTATAAGGAGTTTTTATAATCAAGTTTTAACTATAATTCTAATGGTTAACATAGGGGATTTCTATAGTTAACCAACACACTAAGCCTGTGTTAGTGTGTTCTAAAATTGTGTGTGTGTGTGTGTGTGTGATCAAGGCTTGTACAATTATTCTAAGTAAAGAAAATGTAAAATACATTATCTCTTTTGTTCTTTATTTTCTTCACTTCAAAATGCCTTGAAATCAACTTGCACTTGTACATATTCTGATATTAAAATCTGCATATAAAAATTAGTGCACACACTGTATAAATTGTTATCATCAAAACACTATCATGGAGATATGATATTCAACAATTATGAGATTCTGGTGGGGATCAACTTCTGGTGAGAGAAAGATTCACTGGATTAGGTGACAGAAGGTGTGTTGTGCAAAATCAGAGGGTGGTCTAGGCTTTAGAGATCTACAGATGTTTAATCAGGCATTGGTGGCTAAGCAAGCATGGAGAATCATTTAGGATCCTTCTTCTCTGGCTAGTAGGGTTTTGAAGGAGAAGTATTTTAGGGACTCGGACTTCCTTTTAGCTGGTGTCGGCCCTTGCTGCTCTTATTTATGGCGAAGCATTATTTGGGGGGAGAGAGCTCCTCGCTCGAGGTCTGAGATGGAGGATAGGTGATGGCCAGAGTGTCTCTATCAGTGTTGACCTATGGATCCCAAGGACTTTTCTTTCAGGCCAATCACTTCTCCGATCAACCCTTCTATAAGAGTGGCTGAGTTGATCTCTGCTTCGGGTACATGGAATCATAAGCTGATTGCTACCTCCTTTTGGCAGGTAGATTGGGAGGACATTTCATTTATCTCACTGCCGCCTTCTCATGTCCCTGACAAACTCATTTAGCATTATGAGGAGAAGGGTGCTACACAGTCAAGAGTGGATACTGACTTTTTCACCACACTATACCTGATACTGCTTCCACCTCGGATTCTAGGGTAGCAAAGTGGTGGTCCTTGATCTGGCATGCGGAGATCTCATCGAAGATTAGAGTGTTCCTTTAGCATCTGTTCTATAATGTTCTCCCCACCTCAGATGGTTTATCTCGCAGGGGGATCTCTATGCCACCTAGTTACCGTCTTTGTGTTGCTACCTTTGAGACCGCTCTTTATATCTTCATCGTCTGCTCCTTTGCTCGTTTAGCGTGGGAGTCCTTAGATCTTTGGGAAGTGATTAATGGTTTTAGAGGCATGTCATGTGGTGATTCTTTTTCCATCTCACCTCTGTTTGCCCTGGGGACTCTCTGGCTTTGGCTTTCATAACCCATGTGGTTTATATGGGGGAAAGGAATATGCACTCTCATGGTAGTGGTGTTAGAGAGGCCTCAGTCTTGGTGACTCGGATTCTCTATTTTGTGGAGGAAGGAGATAGATTTATAGGTCTCTCTCGTGACATTATCACCCCTTCCAAATGCCCTTTTGCTTGGTATCCCCCTACTCCTGGTTTGCTGAAGCTCAACAAAAATGTTATTGTTCCTCTAGAAGGAGGTATTATTGGTTTGGGAGGTGTTATGCGGGATCACCATGGACATGTAATTGGTTGCTACTCTATGGGGATTAGGGGTCCTATGTCTGTGGATCATGCGGAGCTGTTGGTTGTACTGGAAGCTATTCGCTTTGTTCGGTGTATGAACTAGAGGATTTTAGTGGTGAAAATTGACTCTCTAAAGGTTATCTTCTTGGTGGACTCTCCTATTGCAGATGAAGTTCGTGTTGGTCTGACTATTACTGGCTGCTCTAAAGTTTCTTATGTAAGGTGCACTGGTAATGATGTTGCTCATTCCCTAGCTAAGTCGGTTGACTGTTTATCCTCTTATTTTTGGTCTATTTCTATCCCTTTGTTTTTGAGACAGAGTATTATTGAGGACTTGGCTGATTAGGTTACCCTACCTATCTTTTCAAAAAAAAGTATATTAAAATTTGTTAATGGCACATCAGTCTCCAATTTAACCAAACAAACAAGTAATACTTGAAAGTTATTGTGGTCTGACGTCTTGAGTAGCTTTCAAGCGAAAAAGAGGCCAACCAAGCAGGCCCATAGAACCGATCATTTGATGGAGTTGTTTATTATATATCAAGTATATTAGTGTTATATGCATTTAATCGTTCTCTATATCTTTAATTTAATATTTTTCACTCGTTCATATTTTAACTCACCAATCAATCCTCAAATAAATTTAGAAATTTATAATACATCTCGTTCAATATCTATTTAGAAGTTCCTATTTTATCATAAATAAAAATGGTCTATGTAAGATGTAATGGTACTTTGAAAACCACTATAAGATAGTGGAAATCGTAGGTGGCATAATCCTTTGCATTTAAATTAGAAGGAACATTAAAGATTAAAGTAATTGGAGCCTCCCCAATTATCACCTAATTGGAGAGGACCCCGATGCAATAGTAGGATACTTTGCCTAAAATGTCAAGTTTGAGAAAATTAAGGCTGAGGTTAAGGATGGTGTGTTTTGTATCACACTTTCTAAAGCTAAGGTTTCAGCTAAGGTATTGGTTATCAATGCTGAGTAGATTTATGTCTTTGTGTGAAAGAAATAAATTTCACCATATGAAAGTGTTTGATTGTATACTAGAGAGGTCAAATTTTTTTATTTATATTCAATTTTATAAAAATGTGTCCTCTAAAAATTAAAAAAAAGAAAAGAAAAACCATCAAAGCAGATAGAATGATAGATAGCAACCCCATGCAATATGCAGGTTGTGGTTAAAAATTTCCTATCCTTTTTCTCTTTCTCAAAGAGGATATATAAAAGGGAGAATGACTTTTAATGCAGAGAACTAAAATAAGAAAGAAGCATTGTCAAACATTAAAAGACGACTAAAGCAAATGTAATTGTATGGAATGATGCATGGAAGAAATGATACATGCAATATTTGGTTGCAAGAAATAAACCATATTTAATGTTTTGATATCCTTCACATCAAATGTTTGGTTAGTTGCAAAGCCTCTTAGATATTAGCAATTTTAAAATATAAAAATTACACTAAAAAATCTCTAAAGGATAAAAATAAAAAACTTGGAAAAAAAGAGAATAAGCTATAAAATAATCATAAGTCTGAGATTAGAAAAAGCTCTGGAAATTCAAAATAAACTAAATAATATTTAAATATTAAAAAACTAAAAAATTCCCAAAAAACATATAAAAAGTTTTAAAGTTAAAATCAAAATAAAATTATATAATATCCTATAAAATATAAAAATTCAAAATAATATATATGAGTAAGATTTCTTTGAAATGCAAAAAAGTTGAATACTTTCCAAAATTTTGTGAAATTAAAATTTTAAAAACAGAACATAAGAAGTTCGTATGACTAGAAAAGTTACAATTAAAACTAAAAGACTATCGATAACTTAATTAAAAAGTTGAAAAAAAAAATTCAACTTGAAACAAGGTTATTTAAAGAAACTAAAAGGGAAAATTGTGTCTAGGCCCCAAAATGGAGACCTTGAAGTGGCCCAGCCCCACCAATTAATCCCCTTGGGCTTAAGCCCCAAAATAGTGTTTGTTGTGTGGCTCAGCCCCTTTAGCCCTCTTTTATACATACACACTGCGTATTTTGACAAATCTCCCATAAATGTCTTCTTCTCTCTCACAGGAAACCGGCTACAAGGCATTAAATGATCACTGATCTCTCCCATCGCAGTTAAGGCGAGGAGACGACGAAAAGCGGGGGGGGGGGGGGGGGGGGGGTAGGTTCCCTTCATTACTGCTCCGCTTCTCCATCATGGGTAATAAATTGTCTAATTTTAACTCTCACTCTCCAATTTATGAAGTTAGGGTTTTTTCTTCAACTTTCAACAACACTTATGAGCTTTAAATCCCCTCAATTACTCCTCATAACTGTCTCCATAACTCTCAATCATCCCCAATGGCCGCCAATGACTTGATTTGTATGGTGTCTTTAGGCGAGAAGGCCATATTCTTGAAGCTATGCTCGATAATAAGGTTTTATGAACTGAAATTTGATGTGGCTGAAAGACTGAATGTACCTGAAGAAGCTTTATCCTTGATATATAAATCTAAAAGGCACCCTAACCTAAGTTTTTCAGTTGATAATGAAGATGACTTGAAGTACATGTTGGAGTACAATCGAAATGTTGGTTGTACGGAGATTCACATGCAAGCTGTTGTTAATACTATTGTTAATATAGAGTGTTCCAGTTCTTAAAAAACAGAAAGTTATTAGTGAAATGTAAGTAATTAATGAACTCTTTATAACATTGGGCTTTGTGTGATGTGAGCACAGCCATTTCAGGTTTTAAGGTTATGTTGGAACAATTTAAGTGTTTTTTTCCTTCATCTTTCCAAAACCCCTTATGCACTTTAAATCCCATCAATTTCACCTCATAATTATCCGCATAACTGTCAACAACCCCCAACGGCCACCAAATACTTAATGTGCACGGTGTCCTTGGGCGTTAATGTTATATTCTTCCTCTTTGAAGTGCATGTAGTATCACAATATTTACACTTGTTGTACGGAGATTCAAATGAAAGTTTTTTATAACATGGAGTATCCTACTTCTTAAAGAAAGCACAAAGTTATTACTGATTTATATGTAAACAATGAACTCTGGTAAAAACTGGGGTTGTGTGTAAAAAATGTTATTTCAAGTTTCGATGCGCAGTCGAAAAACATAGTTGTCATCTTTGATGGTTATAGTTAACTCTTCGTCTTTCATGTTAAGTTTCGACGAGATATGTTATCCTTCACGTGAACATGTTAACTTTCGTGTGATCATGTTTAAGTTTCGACGAGATATGTTATCCTTCACGTGAACATGTTAACTTTCGTGTGATCATGTTAACTTTCATCGTAATGAGTTAATATATGTTATCCTTCACGTGAACATGTTAACTTTCGTGTGATCATGTTAACTTTCATCGTAATGAGTTAATTATACATTGTCTGTTAATTTCCACTGCTCTTTTATAATTTATATGGAAAATGGTTAATTTAAAATATCAGAAGACAATGTTATATTATAGTGTACATGATATCTCACTGGTTGATTAATTTGTGTAGCAATGATGCCTCTTTGAATGAAGAATATTATCATCCTCCTCCTCGAGGAACTGCTTCCAATTCAGAGAGAATCCAAAATGATTGTCTGTCTTGTGAGATTGTAATAAGAGCTGATGATATTCTTAATAACACTTTGAGCATTCCTCAATGGTGGCACACATCATTAACTGAAAAGGACTAACAATTTAAAACTGTAAATGATTTGAGACTAGTTTTGTAATACTATTTTATGGCGAAAAAGTTTGACTATGAATTTGTAAAGAATGAACCTAAACGTATCTGTGTTATTTGTCAATATAAGGATACATATGGATGCCCTTGGATGCTGTTTGCATCTCCTGTTAAAAATGAAAAAGGAATTGAAACCAAAAGGTTTGTGAATTAACACAGTTGTGGACAACATACTAACTTGTCAGGCCAATCACGGGCATCTCGCAGATTCATAGCAGCCCAATTGCGACCTATCTTAAAGGTTCGACCTAAAATTCACCCAAAAGATGTGCAAAAGGACTTCCTCACTCAATATGGATTGAGACTTGAATACAGTAAGATATGGTGGGGCAAAGAAAGAGCGCAAGAGGCTATGTACGGTGATAGTTATGAGTCTTACAATCAATTAAGATGGTAAATTTTACAGTTATCTGTTTAAATGTATAAATTTTGATCGTGGTCGCTCCACCCATAATGTTAGTAGTTAATTTATCGTGCAATATATTTCCCTTAGATGCTTCATGTTAACTTTCATTAATATATATTTCATCTATCACCCTTATGTTCCATTGTATTATATGAATTTGAAATGTGGTCTCATTGTGATACAGGTATGAGCAAAAGGTGAAGGAAACGAATCCAGGAAGCTACATTTGCATTGACCAGAATGAAGGAAGGTTCAGAAGACTGTTTATATGTTATGCTGCTTGCATCGTTGGTTTCTTAAATGGGTGTAGACCTCTATTATTTTTGGATGGGACCTTTTTGAAAGATAGGTACAAAGGCATGCTCCTGAGCGCCATAGCATATGACGGAGACCAATGGATATTTCCACTTGCGTATTGCATATGTGACTAGGAAAATGTTGATAATTAGAGATGGTTCCTTCAAGGCTTGTGGTCCATACTGTATGAAAGGCCAGACCCATACAATCCTCCATATCAATTGGTTATTATTTCTGATGCCGACAAGGGGATCCGAGAACCGGTGAGAGAATATTTCCCTAAAGCAATTCACTCAAGATGTGTTCTGCACCTGGTTGAATATTTTAGATCAAAGCTAAAGTCTTTACGGATGAAGGCAAAGGACACACAAGTTTTGGGGAATTTGCTCCAATCAGCTTGCTATAAATACACTGTTGCAGAATGGAACGACTACATGAAGGATATATATGAGATGTCTCCAGCTGCATATGAGATTACAATTAACTACTCACTAGAGCATTGGGCAAATGCATTCTTCCCTGGCATTAGGTACTGCACTCAATCATTCTGAGTGACTTTTCCCTTTTGTAGGTTAACTATCATTGATATATGTTAACTATATGGCTTGTATGTGAATATTCCCTTTTGTAGGTTAACTATCGCTGATATATGTTAGCGTTTACCAATATATGTTAACTTTCATGTGGTTATGTTAACTTTACCTTACTAAAGGTTAAGTTTTGTGGCTACGTGTTAATCTTATTATATATATTTGGTGCTGACCATACTTTTTATTATCTTGATGTTTACAGATATGGTCATATAACCTCTAATGTTACAGAATCCTTTAACAGCTGGATACGTGATGCTCGATTGTCTCGTATCTTGCAAATGGTGGAGCATATCCACAAATAAATTATGACTCACATGAACAACAGACGCATAATGGCTGATAAGTGGACAAGCTATCTTTGTCCTAAAGCTGAGGAGATTGTTAGAGAACATATGGAAAAGGGGTCTACTTTAGAGATTAAGCAATGTAGAGGTGATATATTCGAAGCGCAATCACATAGAACCACTCATGTTGATTTGGTGAAGAGGACATGCACTTGTCGTGCTTGGGACGTAACTCGTATTCCTTGTGTGCATGCTTGTGCAGTCATCGAAGAGGACATGCACTTGTCGTGCTTGGGACGTAACTCGTATTCCTTGTGTGCATGCTTGTGCAGTCATCATTTATATGAAAAGAGAGGGGACGTAACTCGTATTCCTTGTGTGCATGCTTGTGCAGTCATCATTTATATGAAAAGAGAGGTATATCAATATTATGACAGGTTCATGTCCGTAGAAGCGTTTAAGAAGAGCTAAGATGAAATATTATATCTCATACCAGATTATGAGAAGCGGAGTATGCCCGGGGATGAAATATTATATCCCATAAGATGAAATATTATATCCCATACTAGATTATGAGAAGCGGAGTATGCCTAGGGATAAAATCCAGATTTTGCCACCAATTACCACGAAGAGGAGGGGAAGAAATAGAATAATAGGCATAAACAATAGAACCATCTTGAAACATCCAATCAAATATGGTCGATGCAAAGCTGAGGAGCACAACCGAGCAACTTGCAACCAGCCCATCGGTGATTAGTGTGTTATACTTCTTACAACAGGACTGACGCTAGAGGAATATAAGTTGTATTTAAATTTACATTATATATCATGGGATAGTTGTAATCTGCTGCAAGGCAGCAAGATGTTTTGAATTTTGTACTTGAACATATTAACATATAACTATATCTATACTACTACTAGATTTAGCTGAAGTGGATACCCTTTAGCCCCAAAGTTTGAGTTTAAATGATTGCCCGTTCTCAAATCTAGGTGACTGTTCAATGGCTAGCTGATTAACTGTTCCAACAGACATATTCCAATGGCTAGTTATTAGTTCCAATATGCAATATATAATGTTATGCAAAGCTCAGGTAAAACCTTATCTCTTGTTCCTACCATCCCTTGAAAACTCATTTTGAGATTGTGAGATGAAGACTGAAACCTTATCTCTTGTTCCTACCATCCCTTGAAAACTCATTTTGAGATTGTGAGATGAAGACTGAGGAGGGCTCTCAAGTTCTTGTTCCTACCATCCCTTGAAAACTCATTTTGAGATTGTGAGATGAAGACTGAGGAGGGCTCTCAAGTACTAGAAGAGGTATGTTGTTTCTGCAAAATTCCAACTCCCCTCAAGCAGTGCAAAAATAGGATCAACAAAGGTAGATACTGCTAGGGATGTGCAAAGTTCCCAAATAGGCAATGCAAGTTTTTTGTTTGGGCTCACAATGCTAATGCAATAAAGGAGAACATGGCCGTTCACCAAGAATTACCTACTGAAGATGAGATAGCAGCCAAAACAAAATAGTTGAAGAAAGCATTGAAGCAATCGAATCGTGAAATTGAAAAATGGAAAACTTGTTCGTTCTTTCTATGTTGCTTCTGTGTGGTTCTAATTTGCTTAAACATTGTGATATGCAAGTTGAAAATGAACTAAAACATGTGCAGTTCATAATATTTATACTATGGTATGAAAATTAAAGCTTGTTTTTTGAAAGTTTATTAAAGATTGACTTGTAAACTTTTACTAAAAGTGGTTAACTTTTAGTGCTATTTGATCTAATCCAAAGTGGTTAGCTTTCAGGTTGCCCTGGTTAATTAAAGTGGTTAACTTTTAGTGCTATTTGATCTAATCCAAAGTGGTTAGCTTTCAGGTTGCCCTGGTTAATTTTACTCAAATTGGTTAATTTGATCTAATCCAAAGTGGTTAGCTTTCAGGTTGCCCTGGTTAATTTTACTCAAATTGGTTAACTTTCGGTGCATTATGTTAACTTTTTCTAAGTCTGGTTAACTTTAGCTGAGACTGGTTAACTTCTGCTAAAACTGGTTAACTTTCAGTAACATATGTTAACCTATACTGAAACATGTTAACTTTCAACATTTGCATGTCATTTAGCCATTGGTAGGATAAATACCTTAATAAAAGTTTCAAACTTTCATCCATTGAAGACTGTTCAATTAATATACAATCACAATGTTATGTTCCCATCATCAACCAGTTTCAATTCCTACATTTACACCCATCCTGTGCTGTAAAATAACATATACAAGACTACATTTGTTCCCATAGTTAACTTGTTTAATTACTACATAATGATAACACTTTCTTCCTTGGCGGTGAAACCATCATAGTTTTACTCTTTGATGATATAGGTCTCATTCTTACTTCTCCAAGACGAGCGTTATCCTCCTTCCCGCTGGGCTCTCTTAGAGGGTATTTCTCACCCCATGGGCTGCTGTTTGAAATTGGTTTATCCTTAATCTTAATGTTTGCTTTTTTTGCCTTGGAGATAATTGTCTCCTTCCTCATCGATCCAGCCGTCCCTTCGATCCTTACCCAATTGGTCAACGGAGGCTTCCATTTCAAGTTTAGGGCTGGTTTTTTAATCATTGCCATCTCGTAATACCATAGCTGTTAAAATAGAAGCAACAAATATTTATCATAATTTTCCTAATTGTCAAAACTCTCTGTTCAACTTCATTCTAAATAGCTAACTTTCAGAGTTAAAAGGTTAACTTTCACTAATACAGGTTAACATTAATGAGTACATAACTTTCAGAGTTAAAAGGTTAACTTTCACTAATACAGGTTAACATTAATGAGTACATGTTAACTTTCAATTAAACATGTTAAGAAAGGTTAACTTTCACTAATACAGGTTAACATTAATGAGTACATGTTAACTTTCAATTAAACATGTTAACTTTTATGTTTACAAGTTAATTTTCATCAAATCCTATTATTATTCAATCTTGAACATGTTATCTAATGCTTGTAACCAAAACTATTAATAACTAAAACAAATGTTAAACCATATATGAACATGCAACTTACAGGGATAAGTGGCATGCATCCGGGTATGTACGTAACCCATTGGCTTCCTCAACCCTTCAACGACAATTTGAATGACTTTCTTCGTCTCGTCAAAAATAAATTTTCCCTAGGCAATGCTCTTCACTCTCGCAATACTATCACCATATTGAAACAACAATCTTGGGATGCCTTACGAGCTGTTCGGGCACCAAATCATTGAACACTGTTATAAAATCTAAAGAAGCACAAAATCCTCAATGTCCTTATTATCACTTGACTCAACAAGTGACTCCAGTAACTCTTCAACACATTTCCTCATGCTACCAGCTTCTTCTGTAGCCCTGGCCTTTGCCTTTGCCTTGTCCTTCAATATTTCTTTCTTATCTTCAAAGGCCTCCCTCCAAAGCTGGTTGTAAGGGTCTCTATTCCCATAGATCAACTCCCCATCAATAGGGAAGCCCGTGTGGGTTTGCACCCACTCTTCATCAAATTTGGCTGAAACTAGAGACCCTATTTTGGGATCGGGAAAAGAGAATTCATCAGTTTCGGCATCATAATGACTGAGCAGATACTCTAGTGCTCGTCGATCACGTGCTGGAGGTCCGAAGAATACATAGTGCTCAAAGTTAGTGCCATTGTAGGCATCCCAATGCCACTTCTTTATTTTTGGTTGAAGTTTTTGCATGAATATACAATACGATCCGAAACATGCACTAGGCCTTATATCACCTACAGCATCAACTTTCCTGCATAAATAACAAATCGTTCAAATTCAAATTAGGTAACAGTTAATAGTAAATGCATTAACTAATTACAAGTTAATATTTATTAACATGAATAGCTAATAGTTAACACTTAAGGGTAAACGTCCACAACATAAGAGAATTATTGACATTCATTGCTCCAAAAGTAAGAACCTGGTTCTACACTATAATAACCAGTTTCTGACCAATATTTTCTCATAAACAGAACCAATAAACCTCAATTAAATACAAATCACTCAACTAAATTAATTAAATTCAAAATCACGCAATTTATTAGGAACTTACTTCTTCTTTGAGGTGAACGATTCTTTCGCCGAGCGTTTCCTCTTCCCCTCTCGATTTTCCAGTACCCTTTTCATGCTCAATAGGGTTTTCGTCACCTCATTACTCTCCTCCTCCTCAGAGAATGTCGGAGGAGAACCACCGACGGGAGATAAGAGGGCATAGGCGGAGGCGGATAACCTTGGCATTTCCTCCTTCGCCAATCGCGCCGAGCGTCGCTGGTGACGAAGCACTTCTATTTGTGTTTTGTCTCCTTCACGCTTCTCTTCCATAGGCTTCTCTCCCTTTTTTCTTAAATTTTTTTGGGCATTTTTCTGTGTGGTTTTCCTGGACGCTTGAGTGAATTAGGGTTTTCAAAATGGGTCTCGAGATGAGCTTGGTTTGTGGAGAGCGAAGCGGGAGAGAGAGAAGACAACCTGGTTTTGGGGGGAACAGGGGGAAATGGTAGTTTTGGGTTTTCATCTTTTTTTTCTCTCTGTGCAGTCTGGGAAACGTAAAAAGGGCTGAAACATAAGAATGTTAAGTATTGTGGGCTTTGGCACCCAAAAAATAATACACGTGGCTTACTCACATCCCCTTTAATATTTTGGAGTCTAGATACAAATTTTCCAAACTAAAATGTAGAAAACCCAAAATTTTTGAGTTTTGGCTATTTGCCCATCAAATCATCAATATTAATTAAATTACCTCCTAAACCTTGATTTTTATGAAAACTCCCTCTAATTCTAAAAAATTGGAATTTTTCTACCTAGGATCTTTAACTTCACGAGATCTACGGCTTGAATTTTGATTGGATGTGTCTAATTGGGAGAGTGTTAGAATTGTAACTCTTCCATTTAACTATCTACTACTTAATTTCATTTGGGTTTGGACTCAGAAAAATACAAGGTTTAAAATTTTATGGGGCACTTAAAGAAGTACATAAATAATTGGGGGATTAT